CTCTTTGTGGGGGAGGGGAGGTGGATGGAACAAGGCGGATCTGTATCGCTGTCCTGCTCTGAAAGGGCGGAGGCAGAAGGAAGGACATCTGGAGAAGGGAGGAGGGAGGAAAGGAAGGAGATCTGGAGAAGGCAGAAGGACGAAAGGAGGAGGAGGCAGAACGACGAGGAGGGAGGAAGCAGAAAGGGGGCAGAACGACGAGGAGGGAGGAGGCAGAAAGGAGGCAACATGACGATGAGGGAGGATGCAGAAGGGAGGATAAATCGAGGAGGGCAAGGGGGGGGAGGTGATACGAGGCGTAAGCTGGCACGCTGGGCGGGCAAGGAGCCCCATCCCATCAGGGGACCACGGTGGGCACGGCAAGCTCATGCCGCGGCGGCCTCGGCGTTGGCTTCCCTTCCGCGTGCTTTCATCGCGCAGCCTCGAAGGATCGGCGGCGGTCTCGCCGCCAGATCGTTCCATGCTGGACGATTCTGGGCCACTGCCTCGGCGGCGAGCGAGGGAAGGGGAAACGAGAAGGAGCAGGCCTTCTCAGAAGGCGGCGGGACTTCGCAGAAGCCCTCGCGCCTTCGGAGAACTTTCCCCTGCCTTCGGGGAAGGCTCAGAAAGCTTCTCAGAAGGTCGGGGACTCCCGAACCTTCTGAGAAGGCCTTCTCTTAGGTCGGGCATGTCCCCCTACTGGCGGATTTTGGGCGACACATTGAAAATGCTCAAGAAATAACCCCCAACTAGTCACGAAATAATCGAAAAATTATCCCCACAATATTTTTGACTATTTCTGAATATCCCTCCTGTAGAGGGACAGGCCCGACTTCTCACTCCCCCCTGAGTATCGTTTCGCCGATCCCCACTCCCAGCGGCGTGGTCCGGGCCCCACTGGCCGATTCACCCCCCTAGATGGGGATATAGGTCGTTCCCTTCGGGTTCCGAGGGGTGCATCCCCAACTGGGGTGGTAATCTGGTGGGGGTCTCGATGGGGATGGGGGGATGGGGGATGGGGGTCGGTTCAACGATACCGACCCCCCCGCGCTCGCCGCCGACTGGCGGCACTCCGGCGCGGAAGAGCCCGCGCTGGGAGGCCGCCGCCGCGCCGACACGCCACGAACCTGCCGCACGTGAGCAGGCCAAGGGACCTCCACTCGGCGGCGCGCCCGGGGTCGTAGATCCGCTGGCCTTACGTCGGGCGTGCCCCTCTGAAGGAGGAACACTTAAAGATAGTCTCACGCACACAACAAGTCGGGGAACTACTTTTTGCGTATGTTGAACATGTTTGGTACCTTTTTTCATTTTTTTATTTTTTACAATGACAATTTTTGGCTTTTCGCCCGAAGTCCGCCTGTAGGGGGACGTGCCCGACCTACTGCTAACCCGGGGTCAATCAGACCCGGGTCAGCAGGAAACCAAAAAAACTGCAATGCAGGAAGAAAACAAAGCAACGCAGGGCTTCGCACACCCGTGTCAGCCAGTCACTGCGCGGCCGCCTCGCGGCCACGAGCGGCTCGCTAACCCGGGTCAGCCAGGGGGGGGTCGTCACAGGATCCTGCAGGATCTGGAGCCCTGGCTGACCCCCGCTTGCATTGACCCCCGCATCTGAAGCTCCGACCGGGGAGGAGGCAAAGAGGGCCCGCCTTCCGAGAAGGCCGGTCCCCTCTGCTTTCTCCCCCGGGCGTGCCGCCGATGCCTGTTGCCCGGCGGCTTGCATCGTCTGCTGGCCCTGGAAGTTCCGGGCGGATGCTCCTGGGGCTGGCTGCTCCGAGGAGGGGCTCGGCGAGACAACGAGGGCCCTCCCACGGCGTCCTTCGCCCTCCTTCTTGGGCCTCCTGGGGCTTTCCCATCGCCACGGCCGGATCCGCCTCGAGCGACGGGTCAGGATGGACCCCAGGAGGGGTCCAGACGTCTCTCAGCCCTTCAAGTCCCAGATTGTCGCAAATTATCTGTGGGCCATTCTGGTCTTCGCTGTTGCCAGTTTCGTAAATGACGTGCTGGTGTGGCTTCATGGCTTGGGGTTAACTTGCCAGCACCTTTTCGTGTTCAGGGGGGTGCGTGTGCGTACCACTGCACAGATGTCCAACTGAGCATCGTTTCTCCGATCCCTATCCCCGGCGGCGTGGCCTGGGCCCCACTGGCCGATCCCTATACCCCTCTAGATGGGGATACAGGGCGTATCCTTCGGGCTTCGAGGAGTATATCCCCTACTGGGGTGGTAATTTGGTGGGGGTCCCGAGGGGGATAGGGGATGGGGGATGGGGGTCGGTTCAACGATACCGACCGACGCCGTCGCCACTTGTGGGGCGCGCGCGGCCTCCGCGCGCAGTCGCATCTGTCCAGACCTGGCGCCTTTCACCGCCGCCTGGCCTCTGGAAGGTCTGTTCGGATGGCCACGAGGATGAATACAGGCAGCCCGTATGACGAGGATGCGCGAGAAGGATGCAAGGGCCTTGGACGCCCATTTCGAAGCCTTGTCGAGCGGGGCGCGGCCAGCGAAAGTGGCCAAGGATGG